TGAACTGTGTCTATGTAATGTATATTTTAAACACTAATGTACAAAGAGGGAATTGTTTTGCAAGTTTATAATAATAAAAATCTTACAATTTGAAGACACACGTTTGACAGCGACAATGATACCTTGAAAACTAATTAATTTGCTATACAGCATTTGTATTCATTTCAATGGGGCTTTGAGGGACCAGAATATTTGAATTCTAATGGGTCATTCAACTTTATGTCAGGCAAGAAGCTTGCATATAAATAAGTTAAAAAAGCTTAAATGATATGTAAATACTAGCTGATCGGACAAACAATGCTTTAGCCAATACTGCCTACCTACCAAGTCAATTTTTTCTTAGCATGAGCAAACATCGTAACACAGGATTTTCAATCCACTTCAAAAAGAAGGAAGTTCTAAATTAAGTAGTTTTTTTTTTTTTTTATAATTGTTATCTAATAACTTCTTTAATTCTAGACCGATTTGGAAAATTCTTTACTTATCTAAAAAGAAGTACTTAAAGATTAGTTCAATAGAAATTGTATCAAAATCGGTTAAATAGTTTAATTTTTAGACCAAAATAACTGGTTTTGTCATAATTGAAGTCAGTTTTATCTGTGTTATCTTCAATTATTTTATTTATTTAAAAAACAAAGGATATTATTAGTTACATATGGACATAGAGTAGGATTCAAAGTGTCATTTCATTGACAGAATGTGATAGGAGGCAACTCAAAAGACAGATACAGATCATTTGTTCATATTTTACAACATTACAAATTCGATTTCAATTATGTCTTTTCATTCTCAAAGGTGTGAAAGTAGCAAATTATATACATACATATCTGTCACACTAGTCTCTCAACAGGGTACACAGAAACAATGGAACAACAAACGCTTTGATTCCTCCACATTCAACAATCTTTTCATATATCCTCACTCACACTCATGTTCTCTATATAATAATAATAATGTTTAAAAGTAATTGAGTATGTGTTAAAATTAGTGCGGGAGGGGGGGGGGGGAGGGAGATGTAACCAAACCGTACTGGAATCAATATCAATAGGAGCGCAGAACAGAGTTCGCTAAGCAGGCTCCCCTATATCTCGCATTGAAACTACTTAATGATATTTTGAGCCAGTATCCGCAATTGGATGTATTTGCCTCCGACTTGCTGGAGTTTCGTCGAGTGACCACAGAATATTTGTGTTCAGACATTTTTTGTTTCAGTTAAATCTTTTTTTATATTATTTTTTGTTTAATATTTTTGTGTAATATTCCTTTTTTACATGTTACTGTACTCATGCTTTCCTGAGTGAGCGTATTGGAAGACTGTAAGGCTCACCCAGTGGATGTAATAAATAAATAAATAAATTATTAAGCACAGTTTACTAGTATAAGAGCAAGAAAAGTTTAAATAAAAGCCTGTACTAAGATATCTAGCCAGCATGATAGGAGTAACTATCTTATTTTAATGGAATAGCAACCTCGTTTGTGCTACCATGCGGTAATAGATTAATAAATAAAATTCTAGTAATTAATAAACAATCCAATACTGTAAAGTGTAAAACTCTGTGAACTCAGTTGTGACTGTGGCCGATTGTGATAATGCAGTGTCATGGCGGGTCATTTGATACCCTCTCCGCTGACTTACTATAAGAATTTGTTGTTGCAAGTGCAATGGGCTCATCATTTATATGTGGTATGGATGACATTATAATAGAGTTATTATTTGTAAAATTAACAAACCAGAAGAAAACGCTCCCAAAGTTTTCGATTTTTAAAACGGACCATTAAAAATTTTCCTTGCATTTTGAAGTCTTTATGATCATACCATTGCCATGTGCTTCTTGCATAGAATGGACCATCCCTTCCTTTACTGTATGTACCGCAAGAGGCAACTAAGGAAACTTAATGACCGAGCGATAAGCAGCAGTAGGCTTCTTTAAACATCACTAAAGGCTAACTGCAGTTGCCAACCTGCCTGTCAAGGGGGGAAAGGGATTGTTAATAATGGAGACTGAGAATCCCATTGCTAGCAATATAGCCAACAAGGTCAAGCTCCTCGCGGTTCTCCCTGGAAACTATCATGGTTAATTCCTGATGAATTCATCATGATGGGCTAACTGGCCTGTTTTCATTCTCATCTATCACCCTTCACTAGTGCCTTGCTAGCATATCCCGTTAGCCCAGGCGGGGTTACCATACCATTTTCACCCATCAAAAAAAACCTGCCTGTCAAGGGTGGTTACTACTGGGACAACTACCCTTTATGGGAGAGGCCTATATTCAGGAGTGGACAGTTAATGACTATTATAATGATGATTATGACCATATCTACTACAAAAATCAATCTATTACTATCCACAAACTAATTAATAACCAATAAATGAGGTGCATGCACTAACCAATGGAACATTTGAAAAGTTTTGCACTGCATATGCATAAGACAAGTTATTAAACTGACTGAAGCAGATGTGTGACAGGAAAGCAGTTTTAGATTCGGGTTCTATTGTTATTAATGATATATAAATGTTAAAGTACAAAAAATATACATACATTATTTATCTATTTGTTTATTGCATGTTATATAAATATAACATAGATTTACTATGACAATTATATTAAAATTAATTACAAACTACTTTTATGATTTTAAATGAATATGTTCATTTAGCAATAAAAATGCAAAATAACAAATAACAGCTTTCTGAACTCAGTGGTAGAAACAATAAATCTTATACATTTTTTTATTTTTTTTATAAATAGGTATGTTCATAACTGTAATTGATGAGTTAAAGAAATTTGCAAAATGTTACTCTTGTAGTAACTCAATATATGTCAGTATAGAATTTCACTTTTTTAATTCTATGTGAATTTAGTTTATCCAGGTTTCCATCATCAGAGAATTAGATATTTTTTGTTATTGATAAATAACATTATCTAACTCTCTAATGGACTTAGCTATTAGTGGCAATTAATAATAGTATATTTGTGAAAGAAATTATCAAATTTTCATAAATCAATGGCAGATAGCAAAACTAAATAACCACTTAAGAGGGATAGAAATAGGACAAATATGAGGATAAAAACTTATCAATTAGCTAGATAAATAAATCATTAATTTTATTAGTACAAAACATGTACAATTACAGAATATAGTTTTTTATCTTTATCTGAGCAGTAAATGCTTTATATTATTCCCAAATTCGTGTATAATATAGTATATATCATATATGTGTAAGTATATTTGTTATTCATATATATTTATTCGTTTATATAAGTAAATTTTAATATGTATGTATATCAATAATTAGTAGTACCACATTCGAGTATTCTGACACTTCCCTATGGTTGACTGGGAGAGAATGCTTTTAGCATTAAGTCCGCCATGTACACATATTTGTACTAATGAATAAATAAATAAAAATAAATTGTTGTCACAATAAAGGATAGTTGGCATTCTTGGTATTATTAGCAATTCTATAAACAAGAAACCTGTAATGTAATGATGTTTTCTTAACCTCTGATGACCTCTGAACAATAATTATTGTTCACAGTTATAATGAAATAGAAATTAATACCTAAGATTTTAATAAACATTATAGGATTGAATCCTTAAATTAATGACTGTAGATGAATGTTTAAAAGACTGTCCACAAAACTAAAAAAATCATATGGTATGGAGATTTCCATTTTTTCTTAATCTAAAAATTGTTCTCAAGTGATGCATTTAACAATAAACGATATAAGTAAATATATACAAAAAAAAAACTAGCTGAGAACTCATTGGGTAAATTTGCATGACTGTGATAAAAAATAAAATATAATATAACAATGTCCTTTTCCATATAAAATACTACATGCATCTCAAATTTTGTCAATTGACTAAGCTGTTAAATTACCAAAAGGTAACACACAAATAAGCAAAATCACTTTTACAATTACACTACATATAATGTCATTAAATGTTGGAGATGAATTGAGGGAATAACACTGCCATAGTAGATTGTAGATATAAAGACACTAATTATACACTTCTATTAAGGCTGATCAAAGACTTTTGTTCTTAAAAGGTTTTTCCATGTTTACTGTAGTGAAAAACATATATTTATAATTAAAGTAATTTACTATGTTACTTTTTTCTTTTATCTATTTATTTATTATAAAAAAATGACAGTAATAGAATTTTTCCTTACCTAGGTATGCCCTATGTATCTACACACCATTGTAATATCTTTTATTAACATTACAGAGTATATATTTCAGCTTAACAATCCAGTAAAACACCACTATTGGACAAAGGTCTCTTCCATAAGGCAATATAGCCAACTACTATCACACTTGTCAGATAGCAGAAAAAAAATACTAAAAAAAACTATACAAGGCTTTTTACTTTCCTTTTCTTACAATATCCTGGGTATGAATGACACATCATATTTATACTCTGTTACAACAAAGATAAACATCTTTTAACATCTTGAGACCAGGTATAATTATTATTATTGGATAAGCAATGAGAATATTAAAAGTCTTTATGGCCATCATATATTTTTAATTCATTACTAGTTAAATTATGTACAATATTAGAAATACGTATTCATATTAATTTGGATTAAAATAACAATGTAATAGAATTAGGTAATTTCGGAAAATGTCATAAACGTGTAGAAAAAAGAAAGAAAAATCAAATAAAGGCGTAGTGAAAGCAATCCTACTATGAATCGAGTTAAAAGGATGAATGTATCGAAAAGTAAAGATCGTGTACCGGATTAACAACAGAGTTATGCAAATTGTGCCGTAATTTCGAAGTTTTAACGCATGATTTTGTTAATAGGAACCGTCAGCAGAGTCGTGAGATACGAACAGCTGCTGCGGGCGTCGAAGCCGGCTCGCCGGCGCCTCTCTTGGACAGCCACGCCACTAAAACACCCGATATAGTCAAATAGGTTACAGCGGTTTTATATGACAATTTTCCAACCTAAAACTGGTGACAAATGAAAAAATATAGTACTCACCTATTGTAACAGATATCATCCAACAACAAGCGTCATAGCGATCCAAAAAGAATAATCACTGCATATATAATCACAATTCAACACAGAACATTTTGTAAGACATCCAACGCAATATTGCACAAATGACTTTACAACCATCGATAACTCATAACAAATTGCACGAAAACTTTTATATAACACAAACACAAAAACGAGATAATTAAAAAGTTATTATCATAAATATAAGCGGAATATCACTAAAACGGATATCACTTTTCTACATGTCCTTGCGTTCACATAAATTGGCAGCCATCTTGCGTTCAGCCGAATAAAAATATGTTGCCACTTTTTGAAGTGCAATTTCCTTTAAAAAACAGTCAATTCTTTCCATTTAAAAAATAACCGGAGAGGTGACAATTTCATCAATCTTGGCATGAATCAAAAGAATTAAAATGAAAGGTAGACTGCTTATATTTTGTCTATCACTCATTATTAATAGATCCGTCATCATATGTTGAATATATAAAACCAGATTCTTTGGACAAACAATTGTTTTCAAAAAATTGTTAATCCATTTATTATACAACTATGATAGTGTAACAAAATACAATGATAATAAGTTGTCTTCTTTGTATTGATACGTATTTTGATACAAAAATTTTAATGTACTAATAATATGAAAGTATGGCACTAAAAATATTTTATCTATTACTTACTGATGTTATCACTAATTAGTATATACATATTTTGAATTAAATATCTTAAGAGACAAAAATATGATTTGAAGTTAATTATAAAATATTTGTAGTTTATTGAGCATGTTTTATGTAAAATTGGCTTATTCATCTTATAATTAATTTGAATACTCATGTTAAAATAAATAGGTACATATGATCATAGGTCTAAGAAAGATATAATTTAACTTTGAAGAACACTGGCTTTGGCGTGGCATTGAAGCTATGGATTCAAAGATTATAACTCTCTAATTATAATATAGTCATTTTCTAATATACTCTAAGAAATAATAATAAGAAATAAGTTATAAATAAAATGAAACATTGACTCATTTTTTTGTTTCCTTGAAATTTAGATGTACTGTACTTATGGGTTGTCTTGAAAAAGTGGCAACATTTTAAAGGACCATAGTCAATATAATTGTATTTTTCTGTCAAATATATGAGATCAAAGAAGTTATGCACAGAGCTTAATTATAATCACTTTATTCTTGCAAATATAACAATGTCTGTAGCATCGTACTCGACTCGACTACGATACTACAGAGGCCTTACTTGTCCCACAGATGTAAGAAAATAACTTAAAGACCTTAATTTTATATGAATGCGTACAAACACAAAGACACACAGCGAGAGACACGCATGCACCTGCAGACACACGCATACACACACGCACACGTACTCGCACACACACACGTACTCGCACACACACACGTACTCACACACACACACACACACACACACACACACACACACACACACACACACACACACACACACACACACACACACACACACACACACACACACACACACACACACACACACACACACACACACACACACACACACACACACACACACACACACACACACACACACACACACACACACACACACACACACACACACACACACACACACACACACACACACACACACACACACACACACACACACACACACACACACACACACACACACACACACACACACGCGCGCGCGCACACACACACACACACACACTTATTACAAGTACTTAGTGAGTAACCCTGCGGAGTGAGGCCCTGGTGACCTGTAATACAGGTATTCTTATACCTATCTCAGGCACCAGTCTCTCACAATTATATTTATAATTTGATTACTTTAATATAAGCATGTCTCATTGTATCTCACTGTGATAAATTGTGAAGAGAAAATAAATCTATTTATTATTATTATTATTATTAATGGGAAATTTGTTTCATTAAGTTTCGCCCTTTTTAAAGTTAGCTCTAAAACATAATTCCTATTTAGCAACACTGAAATACACTTCTTTAATTCACAAATAAATACATTATTATTACATATCTATGGCTTGATTAAAACCAGTCATAATATATCTGTGGTTTTATATAGTATCCATCTACGGTAATATTAAAACTAAAGGCATTTCAAAAGCCTTTCGTTTACCAGAAATGATCTTATATATTTAATAAAATTAAAGTCAAATTTTTGTTTATCTCTAGAAAACCTAAGTCCCGAATTTTACAAGTAGCTGCTTTAGTAAGTACTAAGCTTATTTTAATAAAATAAGTTTCGTGTTTCTCTTAAGTTTCGAGTTTTTTTTATATACATGATTATTGAACAGAAACCCGAGGATGGTTTCTTACAATAGTAAAACATATGCAAAAGTCGAAAATTGCATTATATTTAATGTCAATTTTCATTTTGATATATTTTGTAGCATTTAGTGAGTAAAGTATTAAAATTACTATTATAAATTATTTCTGTTAGTAAGTACGTAAGTACTAAAGCTATGGTTTATATATGGTATGCTATATCTATGGCCTATAGATATATATATATATATCTCAAGAGAGAAGAGACGCTTTTGCTTCATTGCTTCATAGAAGATGAAGAAAGAAGACGCCACGCCGACACAGACCACCAGTGTATGTCGGCTTAAAACCCATTGACCCGGAGTTGTTGCCTCCGGAGTTGAAGCCGGAGTAATGGGGTACGCCCCGAGGCCTCTACCTCGTCCGCCCGCACCATCTGGCGGGCATGAGATGCCTTATAGATAGCAACATTTTGGATATATAATGAAGAATCCTATTAAAAAGCATTTTGTAGTCATTGCAAATGCGCGGGTGATGGGATACGATCTGACAAATATTACATATAAAGATCCGTCAGTATTCTACGACTATGACGATATGTATGTAAAAAAAGTATCAATATACATTGGGTACACAACCCAATGTATATTGATACTTTTTTTAATGGATGATAATGAAATGGTAACGATGGCGCTAACAGTATACGCTGGCGGGGCACCAGTATGAGATAATCGGTGAGGATGAAAGGGCAAGTTAATTAGCCCACCGGCAAGTCAATTAGACCCATTACTAACAGCCCCCTTCCCCCCACCTCCACGTTCACCTAGCACAGATAATATAATACTATACTAGTACCCCTAGAAACCTTCGTGATTGATTCTAGTGGAATTTATCACGTCAGGATAACTGACGTGCTTGGGGGGGGGGGGGGATCCATTAATAAGGAATTCTTAGTAATGGAGATTAGTAGCCCTATTGCTAGCAATATACCCTGCTAGGTCGACTTCCTCGTGGTTCCCCCTAGAAACCATTGCGATTGATTTATTGTCAGATTCGTCACGATGAGCTAACTGATCTGCTTCATCCTCACCAATCATCCTTCACTGGTGCTCCGCCGGTGTATACCGATAGCACCCATAAAAAAAAAACACTAAAGTAAATGGCGTGGTTTGATTTACCTAACATTTGAAAGCATTCGAGATACCTATATATTTTTAATAATTTGTTTTAGCCCCTGTACCAAATTTAATTTTTATGCGTATATTGCACCATAATCTTCGCCAATTCCATAATAGATACTGTTTTTCAGAAAACGAAACCTTAATATATAACTGTCTGTAAAGGGTGTGATATGGCATTGAATTTACAGGGTATAGAGGAATAACACCTGAGTCCTCAGGAATGGCAACACATGGGGGGTATCATGTGCGAAACAGTATACTCTGTTATGTCCATGGTATTGCTCATGTCTATAGGCGACGGTCACCACTGTCCATCATCGTCATCAGGTGGGCCGTCAGCTTGTTTGCCATGCTAAGTTGCATAAAAAATTCCTGACGACTCAGGTGTTATTCCTCTGTACCCTGTAAATTCACTACCATACCCCACCCTTCAAACCGAAACACAGCCATGCAAACACAATTGCTTTACGGTTGAAACACGAATAGGAAAGAGGTACCCAAACAAACGACTTTTGTAGTCTCCTTCTGGTATGCAATTTCAAGAGGTTTATAATATACAGACCAAAGACTCATTAATTAGGTATTCAATAGTCTAGTAAAACCAAACAAAGAGACTTTTTGCCCGCAAACAAAACATCTCTTTGCGAAAGCCATTATAGTAATGTGCTCATACTGTATACATACTAAAGATTTTTCTGTACAGTTGAAATAAAACAACACACATTTCTTTGTAAGTTCGTTTTTTATTCTATAGATCAACTCTTTTTTTTGTTATTAATCTTATTGTTAAATACTTACAGACCACAGGTCTTACGGGTTTAACTTAAAATAATTAATTACAGTGAAAACGTTATTTGTTAAAATAAAGAAATGAAAAGAAATCATCAATACAAAGGAAAAAAAAAACTTTTTGCAAAGGCAAGAATATAAAATGCAAATATCTCGCTCCCTGTTCCCATATCGGCACAAGAGGTTAATTTTTTTTTAGTGGAAACATTAAGTGCCGCTCCTTCTAAAACGAAGGGAATTTAACTTAATTTTTTACTATTCAACTCTATAATATTACTGCTTTAAATCGAGGTACCTAATTAATTGTTATCTATAAAAAAATAAACTAACGAATAAGTACCAATTAAATAATACAGCAAATTGCAAATTGGAATGCAGTTTATAGATTAACAATCCCGATACAGATATTAATTAAAAAAAAAATAAAAGAAAAAAAATGCACATTTATGAACATAAACTGAAAGTCAAGTTCTGACTAGCATAAACAATCACACTCACTCTCTATGGTCTATGGTAGATAGTTCACTCAACACTTCCCACCAGATTCCACCAAATCCTACAATCTAATAAAGGATCTAAATGAATGTAATTAAAGTCGAGATTAACGCCACCGGAAAACTAACATATATACCAATGCATAGCAATAATTTCAAATCTAATTCGCATTAATTGTGATCCTTATTAGACGATCGCATCTACACGGTATGGGCCCAGTCCTCTTATTGTAACTCCCTGTCGAACCGTTAATTCAAAATCACCAGAAAAATATCCTATCCGGATGTCATGTCGCTTTGTCCATCAGATCGTTCACGGTATATATCATTTGACCATGATACTGTTGTTCATCTTCTGATACTCCACTGGCAGGAATATGTGCATCGAGTTCTCTATTTCACTTCGGCATAGAGGGCACCGATTGCACCTGCAACAAAAGACGTTACGTTGTTAATTTAGATAATTTAAATAGAACAGCGCCATCTAGTTTCATAGGGAACAAACTTTTTCTGTGGGTATTAGATAACTGATATAAACACGTAAATACATTATAAAATAATGAGATTTGGTGAGATTATCTGTCTTGTCTGACTTTTTCTCCCATTTTAAGCATATACCCTCAAAATACAGACTACTAAAGACATAAGATCCACGAATAGCTACAAGTGTTGTACGGAGATCAAACCCTCATTTATTGAAGACGCAAAGTGCGCACGATTTATAAAACAAGATATAGGGTGACAATTAACAGATTACCAATTTTCTATTTAAAAGTACTTCACTATTATATTCAGTGAAGTTTATTGTAATTAAATCTATAATCCTTATTAATATTATGAGTATTAACGTGAGTTTGTTCGTTCGTTATTTCTTAGCCCCTTAATGAAATTCACTATGAAATTTGGTATACACATACTGTACGGCATGGAGGACATAGGCCAAATTTTTATTACAGTTAGTGAGCACATCTCGATCAGGCGACTGAAGTCACGGGTAAAAACAAGTTTTTTTTTTATTTTTAATTTAATACTACCGAGATAGCAAACATTCTTGTTTGGTTTCTACCTCTTTACCCCTTTTTTGAAGAACCTTTTTTAGTTATTATCATAATTTATTAAATCTAGTTATTATGATTGGATTTATGGGAGTGTCACGTCTGAATATTTATTCTTATAGGCGTATTTATAAGGGGGGTCTCGTGGACTGTGCCCAATCCAGATTTGTCAGGTGCCCATCCCAGGATGCGAGTGAAGTTCCAAAGATATGTCTAAGAGTACATATGCGCTATATATAAGAGAGTAAGAGATCAATCCTTTCTGGAGAATAATCTTAAATATACAACTGTTTTTATGCCATAATCTACCTAGTATAATCAAAGTGGGGGGACAGGGATTGGTAGTAATGAAATCCAACAGACCTATTGTTAACAACATACCCTAACAAGTCCCCCTTTACGGGTTCCCCCTAGAAACCATTGTGATTAATTTTTGATGAATTCATCACGATTGGCCAACTGACCTACTTCATCTTCCCAATAGCGCAGGCGAGATTACAATTCCATTTTCATCTATTAAAAAAAAGTATAATCGAAGTGGTTCCGTACCTGGGCGCGCATTCACCACAGCAGACGACGTGTCGGCACGGCAGGAACACCGTGTCCATCGCGTTGTCCATGCACACACGGCACGCGAGCGTCTCGCCGCCGCCGCTACGAGATCGTGATCGGAACTCCTGTAACAATAAACAATCTAATGTCAATAAATAATTCGTGTGAAATCTGCTAATGACCACAGTCGATATAGCTGTCACATAATCGAGTGGATGTGAGGGGAAAGTGATTGTTCGTAATGGGGTCTAACAGCCACCCTCATGGCCGTAGCTAAGGGGGGAGGGGGGCATTGAGGTTCAATGCCCTATCAAAAAGTACTTTTGTCCTACCTTAAACTTGGGTCTAGCTACGGCCCTGGTCACACTGCTAATATATCCTATCCGATCCCTCTTGACAACGATCGTGGTTAATTCGTCATGATACAGTGGACTAATTATTTTCTTAAACTTTCTTTTATCAGTGGTGCCCTGCCAGCGTATACCGATAGAGCAGGCGGGGTTACCATTTCATTCATACCCATTATATAAAAAATATATGTTAAATAAGAATCCTTTGGGTCAACGGGTTTCATCCTAGATCATTTAACATCAGGTGTGGTATGATCAAGCCGCAAACCTATCTTGTAATAAAAAATAAACAAATAAAATAATACAGAAATCTGTGGGACGCAAAGTGCCCAAGAGTGCGAGGCCATAGGCGATTGCCTACGTCGCCCACGCCTTACGCTACTTCTGAATATGGTCAAGACTTCAAGGTGCTTTTACCTCAAAGGCAAGACAATCAGTACATTTTATGTGGATACGTTAACTTCAATCTTACAAATTGAACTTAATTTTTGTTCATGGCAATGGAATAAAATTATAACAATAACGTACCACTCATAAGTAACAAGATTACGGGAATTTACTCCTAAGATGTCTTGCGACTAGGAAAAAATTCTCAAAATATATCTGCCTCATTAGGTATTTACATTTACTTATCATAATTTATAATATGAACCTAATATTAATTCGCCGAGACACCTACCTACGTCTCTTGAGGGGGAAGGGATTGTTGGCAATGGGGTCTAACTGACCTATTGCTACCGGTTCCCCCTGGAAACCATCGTGGTTAATTCTAGTGGAACTCGTCACGATGGGCTAACTGACCAGCTTTCATTGACACCTATCATCCTTCACTGGTGCCCCGCCAGCGTGTACCGACAGCGCACGCGGGGTTACCATTCCAGACTGTATATTCTCTTATAGAGCTAGCAAAAATGTAGTTAACAATGAGGGATTCCCAAAAGCGCTAGCAACATGTGGTGGCGCACCTTGTGCTCGTTCCCGGCGCTGGAGCGGCGGCGCGGGCGCGGCTCGTGCGCGTGCGCGTGCGCGTGCGCGTGCGCGAGCGCGTGCGCGGCGCGGCGCGCGCGGTCGTGCACCTCGCGGCACGTGCGCCGGATGTCGAACACGTAGCGCCGGCCCAGCGTCGACGAGTCGTTGAAGATCGACGCTATCGTGCCCTGTGGACAAAAGCAAAACAATGTTATATTTCCGTGCTGTTGTTACCCGCCCATCACGATTTAAATTAGGCGACAAAGACTGTACAAAACTCGTCTGCTTGGTTACCTCTGGCCCACTCGTGTTTCTGTCGTAAAGTTGGCCCTACTTGGCTATTTTTCGATTTGATATACTTCTATATTTTAGTGCAATACAGTACACGGTGGCATAACACCATAGTCCTGAGGGGAAGGGATTGCTAGTAATGTGAACTACCAGTCCCATTGCAGTCAATATACAGGGACATAAACCTCCATGTAGTCCCCTCTGGAAACCATCATGCTTTATCATCCTCGCCTGGTAATACCATCACTGTTGCTCCGTCAATAAAAGTTAATATTCCATTATCATTCATTAAAAAAAAAAAAACACTATAGTCCTCAGGAAAGGAACGCATAAGGGATACCATTGACATCACAGTGTTTTTTATGATGCCCATGGTGCTGTCCATGTCTATAAACAACAGACATGTTTTCCATCTGATGGGCTGTAAGCTTATTCGCTACTCTAGCTTGCATTAAAAAAATAAATATCGAAAGAGAGGAAAATTTATATCGAAACATTAAAAATGGTAACTAAAAGCAAAAGATTTAAAGGCCGGATACTAAAACTGGCTGGATCAAATATCGAAAAGTCTAGCGTATTACATGACGTAATGATTTACATAATAAACGTATTATATAATTAAAAAACGATGACGGCAAAACAATTGACTGAAGAATAACGTTAACGTCATAGGTACCGAATTAATTCAGATATGAATCTATTATCTATAGTAATATTATAAAAGAAAAAAGACTTGAGTTTTTTTTTTTTTTACAACACAGAGGGCAAACGAGCATGCGGCTCACCTGATGGTAAGTGACTACCGCCGCCCATGGTCACCCACAACACCTACGTTGTTTGTAAAAAAGAAACTGTTTAATTGTTTTTAAAAAATCTTTCTACTACAGAAAATCACGTTATTAATGGGTAACATAGGCTACATATACATTATTTTTAAAAAATTACATAAATTAACATGTTGATTTAAAAACTACTAAACTAATTTTGCTAAAATATCCATAGGACAAATCTGTAAGTATATCCTTAAAGATAAAAAAAAAAAATATTTTCTAAATCTGCTTATAACTGAATCATAATGAACCATTGTGAACAATTCTTGTTGAATTCGTCACGATGGGCTAACTGACCTACTTCATCCTCATCTATCATCCTTCACTGGTGCCCCGCCGGTGTATACCGATAGCGCGGGTGGGGTTACCATTCCATTATCACCCATTAAAAATAAATTATCCCATAAGAGATTATTACCTAACCATACTTCTTCTAATAACCTGGCACTAATTTATTTTTAACATTACACATAGAATCAACTGCCAAGCGTCGACCCGAAGTCGCGATAACAATATTAAAGTACTCAAACGAGTGTTTATCGTTCATTCCAATCAAATACACTGATTTCAAGATTGTTTATCAGACTGATAGCATAAAGGTTAAGCCACATCCCGGATCTGTTAGTTTTTTTTTTGATGGGTGAAAATGGTATGGTAACCCCGCCTGCGCTAACGGGATACGCTGGCGGAGCACCAGTGAAGGGTGATAGATGAGAATGAAAACAGGCCAGTTAGCCCATCATGATGAATTCATCAGGAATTAACCATGATAGTTTCCAGGGGGAACCGCGAGGAGGGAGACCTGGTTGGGTATATTGCTAGCAATGGGATTCTCAGTCTCCATTACTAACAATCCCTTTCCCCCCGGATCTGTTAGTTGACTTGAAATATAACACATACCAATTATAGCATGATGATATTTTCCTCGTTTGTTTAATATATTCACTAACAACATACATACAAGATTTTTGTACTACAAAAGTTTATTTATTAGAATGCATTCATATACATAATATTAATGCTAGCAAGTTAGCATTTAAACATAAATTGCGCATTTAGTTCTTAGAAAAATCACTTTCCCTTTAAACTTATTCTAACTGGTTATTCTGTCTGAGTCATAGATTGCTATACATACATACATACATATCTGTCACGCCCGTCTCCCATTAGGGTAGACAGAAAGAATGGAACGCCAAATGCTTCGATTCAAACAAACCTCTTTCGCTTCTTCCACACTCATCAATCTTTTCATACACGCTCGCCGGTTACGGGTACTTTTAATTAAGTCCTTCTTCAGCACGTCGCCCACTTGGTCGACATACGTCCGTCTAGGGCGGCCCCTACCGACATCTCCATTCATTCTTGCTCGATAAATCTCTTTCGTAATTCTTCTCTCATCCATCCTCTCCAAATGACCAAACCAACGCAACATTCCTTTTTTGATTTTTATAGATTGCTATTTGCTCTTTTATTACAATTAATTGTTTTATATAAAAACACTTTATTTATTATATTTATTTATTTCATATATTATATGTATGTTTATATTAGTCTAACTATATGTTTATATTATATGAATATATCAAGTATTGCTTTATTTTTCCTCAATTCAATAATGCACCGCCTACTTATTTCTCGGTTCGCTCAATGGTTGACTGGTAGAGAACACCGTCCGATGTTAAGTCCGCCAAATGTACATACAGTTTCTATGTGTATTAAAGTTTAAATAAATAAATAAAATAGAGTTATTAAAATGTTCTTATGAAGAGTACATTCATGAATCCTGTTTGGTTATAGCAGAATTTAATCGATAGCTAGCTAATATACATGCATTAATGTCAATCTAGAGTTTAGATTATAATTGGCGTGAATTTACAGGGTATAGAGGAATAACACTTGAGTCCTCAGGAATGGCAACGCATGGGTGTTATCATGGACGAAACAGTATACTCTGTTATGTCCATGGTACTGCTCATGTCTATAGGCGACGGTTACCACTTACCATCAGGTGGGCCGTCAGCTTGTTTGCCATTCTAAGTTGTATATAAAAAAAAAATTACTAAAACAAATAATTGTTCGTTTTTAAATACATTTGTCATGCAATAATTTCGATTTACATTGAATAATTGAATATAAATTCATAATATCATATTAATCATACAAAAATGAATTGAACTCGGTTTAGTTTAACTGTCCCATTGTGTTGTGGACAGTAGTTTTAAATAAATAAATACATACAATGGGTGTGTATGTGTGTGTTGTATTTATATTGAATAGAAGCCCATATGCACGGTTAAAACAACGTGCCTAGTGTAATATTATGAATTCCGCGCACGTTGTATGAACCGTGCGTGCTCCGCGGGCCGACGACGCAAGAATATATTTATTTTAAAAAAACCTATCGGAGCAAAGTCCATCGGTATTATGAAAAGCAATGTTACATTGCGTTGTGTTATGTTCAGGCGAATGATAAAGTGATTGTTCAGGTGCCTGAGTTGATTACAAACTGGTGTACCACCGTCATCATGGTATTTAAATGCTTGTTTAACTAAAAATTATGTATATGAATAAAGGATTTAATTTTTTTTAATAATTATCTACTTGCTGTTAATATTCGAATGACGTTTCTCTGTATAAGAGGAAAAAACTATTGGGTATTTTTTGAGGTACTTTCTTCGTACACACAAATAAATAACCCATAACCGGTCGGGTATGGCGTAAGTGTATTTACTGTGAGTAGGGACCCCAAATAAACTTGGACAACAGCCAGGAGAGAAAAGAGGAAGATTGATCTGATGTTTTTGTAATGGCAACATCTTGGACATGAAATGGAGCGATGACCCGTTGTATTTTGCTCTCTCCCATGGGAAGTGAGTTTGGTGATGTTAATGGAAGTGTCAGAGTATTGTTGACAAACGGATTGAGGGATATTTGAGTTTCATTTCTGAAATCTACCGCTATATAAGCCATAAAAGCAATAAATCGAAGGTCGTTTCCTACACCCTTTGTCAAGGATGACCAGACTACGTTCAAGTTAAATTCCCATAGTATTTTTCACGTCTATAGCCAAGGATTATCATTACCCGTCAGAAGGGTCTTTTTTTTTGTTGGATGAAAATGGTATGGTAACTCCGCCTGCACTAACTGGATACGCTGGCGGAGCACCAGTGAAGTGTGATAGATGAGAATGAAAACAGGCCAGTTAGCCCATCATGATGAATTCATCATGAAGCATTAATCGTGACAGTTTCCAGGGGGAACCGCGTGGAGGTCGACCTGGTTAGGTATACTGCTAGCAATGGGATTTTTAGTCTTCATTACTAACAATCCCTTCCCCCCCCCCCCCCGTCAGAAGGGTCGTCAACTTGTTTGCCATTGTAAGATGCATAAAAAATACCCGAATACAGCAACTGACTGCGGAAATGCCTGAATCAACTATGTGAAAAAACTCGTGCCTACCATCTAATAGATATATTGCCTCACAAAATATGTTATATTACATTACACACCTTGAGATCCCTGATGAACTGTTCCGTGACGTCACTGCGCACTGTTTCGCAGCAGTAGAACGCGTGTTTCTCAGTGACGGCCCGGTACAAAGCTGCCGCCTGGCCGGCCTTCGCCATCTTGACGTGGAGCGGCGCCTCGTGCCCGTCAGCGGTCACGTATGACAGCTGGAAGAAGCGGCGAAGCGGTTGAGCGCGGTGGATCGCCGTGTATGGAATGCTGGAATAGAGATGAGAGGAATTTAATTGTTATTATGTGGCTGGTAAAGGAAGGAGGGTGTATATCTGTTATGTCCATGGTACTGCTCATGTCTATAGGCGACGGTTACCACTTTCCATCTGGTGAGCCGTCAGCTTGTTTGCCATTCTAAGTTGTATAAAAAAAAATAAGAATTTGTGAAGATTTGATTATTTATTTATACTTTTGCACACATTACAATACAGACTTAATGCCCAATGGCATTCTAAGAAGATCATATTGTAATAAATATTGTGTGATTAAAAATAATCGACGGTGAGCGATTTCAATCAGGCGAGCCGTAAGCTTGATTGCCATTCTAAGGCTCTGATACACATATATATATATATATATATATATATATATACTGGTGCCCCGTCCGCGTACGCTGACAGCGCAGGCTGGGTTACCATTCCATTTTCTCTCATTACAAAAATAAATCAGAAATGACATGCACGTATGTGGCATTCACACATTTCACCGAGCTTAATCCGAATATTTAAAGTATTTGAACGCTGACACGACAGGGGGCGCGTGTAGCGTAGATTTAAATTAATTAGGTTTACAATTAATTATAATTAAATTGCAAAAGTAATAAATTGTGCCAGTAAGAAGTCAAAGCTTTTTCTTGTATTACGTAGGCTGGAAGAGATGTCTTCCTGGAGGAATATGTATTTTCCTTACAATAGGTGCGTGTCTGTTACTAATTTTTTTTTTATACAACTTAGAATGGGAAACAAGCTGACGGCCCATCTGATGGAAAGTGGTAACCGTCGCCTATAGACATGAGCAGTACCGTGAACATAACAGAGTATACTGTTTCGCCCATGATACCCCACATGCGTTGCCATTCCTGAGGACTCAGGTGTTATTCCTCTGTACCCTGTAAATTCACGCCATATCTCACCCTTCAAACCAAAACACAGCCATGCAAACACAACTGGTAGAAACACGAATGGGACAGAGGTACCCAAGCAATCGACTTTTGTACAGTCTCCCTCTAGTAATTCTCTAAATTACTATATATACATATATTTTTTATAATATACATTTACAAAGAATATACATTTAATCATTTTATGTTTTAATGTACATTCACTTCACGACTTGAGACTTATAACCTCAAGGCATCAGCGAACACAGAACACGTTATGAGTAATGAGGTTTAGCAGCCATTATTTCCTTAAATAAAAAACATAAACTAGCAAATTATATATCTATAAGTATAAAGAAACAACATATTCTGCTCTTGCATGAAATAAAAATAATCTAGTAGATTTGGCTGTATAGCTCAGCGACCTTTGCTATTCAACATTCGACTAGTCTAGAAAAACTTTATTACATAAACCAGTGTTTTACGTAAACAGCATGTTTTATTAGCAACATTCTTTATGTCACAGGGCGTAGTTTGAATTGTTTCTTGAAACATGACATTCCTTTTTTAAGCATACCTATTAATATTAAGTACAAATGTATAAGTTTTTTTTTTTTTTGGTTTGATTGTTACGTCTTAGCGCCTTAGCGGCGTAACAAAACGTTATGAAATTTCAAAGAAATTTGATACACACATATTATACGGGATTTATTTTAATTTAATAACAATAATTATACGGGACAGAGGCACATAGGCTAAGGTTTAGCCTAGTCAAAAATTATAAAGGAAAATAAAAAACTTTTTAAAATAATTAAGATTGCATTAGATCGACTGTAATTGTGACAAAACCATTTTGATTTAAAAGCTAAAGTACTGAACCGATATTGATAAAATTTCTATAGCACCAATCAATATCCTTTCAGACAAAAAGAATTTTCCAAATCGGTTTACAACTGACGGAGTTACGAGGTAACGAACATGAGATGGGCAGCAGCGTCCCTCTTAGAACGTCACCAAAACCTAACTGCGACTGCCAACCTGCCTGCCAAGCATATCTTTTTTTTTTAATGGATGATAATGGAATGGTAACCCCACCCGCGCTATAGGTATACACCGGCGGGGCACCAGTGAAGGATGATAGATGAGGATGAAGTAGGTCAGTTAGCCCATCGTGACGAATTCAACAAGAATTGTTCACGATGGTTTCCAGGGGGAACCACGTGGAGGTAGACCTAATAAGGTATATTGCTAGCAATGGGGCTGTCAAACTCCATTGCTAACAATCCTTTTCCCCCCTGCCATGCATGTTTAGCAGTGGACAGCTAACTTATATTTGATATATTATCAGATACTTATGCCAACGATTAGTAAATTATTTCAGAGATAATAAAATATATTCATATGTATATTCCACTTAGGTGATAATTACATCTTCCTACACGTTCATGTCACGTAGTACGATGGTATACCTTATTTGTTATGTCTACTTAATAAACGAATTCTAATAAGCATTGCTCATAACCTAACATCGCAATAGAAACCAGAATTAATTACTTGTTTACCTATACGCGTCTAGTTCGATGCGTAGGATAGGGCCCGAGGTAATATGATTAAATTACAAGGAATTTAAACAGAAAATTAATATAGGAAATTGGTAGTAGCACTCAGAGGGAGACTTTGTACAAAAGTCGATTGCTTGGGTACCTCTGTCCCATTCGTGTTTCAACCGTGAAGCAGTTGTATTTGCATGGCTGTTTTTCAGTTTGAAGGGTGGCGGGATATGGCGTAAATTTACTGGGTACAGAGGAATAACACCTGAGTCGTCAGGAATGGCAACGCATGACGGGTGTCATGGGCAAAACAGTATACTCTGTTATGTCCATGGTACTGCTCATGTCTATAGGCGACGGTTACCACTTACCATCAGGTGGGCCGTCAGCTTGTCTGCCATTCTAAGTTTTAAAAAAAAAAAAAAACAGTATTAAGCAACGCCGGGACCAGGATCAGTATTAAAGAAAACCAGGACTAGGACTTTTGGTTACCTACACTAGTTAATATTAGTCAGTTAGCGAGTTCAGTCAATGTTCATAGTATCTCAAAAGGGTAATCAGTCATTTTTTATTTTATTATTATTATTTTTTTTATTTTACATTGACAAGCGCTGCTAGAATGCATATCGCCTGCCATCGAATCAAGGAGGTTCTTAACTAAAATGACAATATGGGTATTGTGAATTATGTAACTCAAAGACTTCCCTTCATCGTCATTATATTGGATTTTAATTGTCCACCGCCGAACATGGGTCTCTCCCTATTTTTTTTTTGATGGGTGAAAATAGTATGGTAACCCCGCCTGCGCTAACGGGATACGCTGGCGGAGCACCAGTGAAGGGTGATAGATGAGTATGAAAACAGGGCAGTTAGCCCATCATGATGAATTCGTCAGGAATTAACCATGATAGTTTCCAGGGAGAACCGCGAGGTCGACCTGGTTGGATATATTGCTAGCAATGGGATTCTCAGTCTACATTACTAACAATCCCTTTCCCTCCGGGTCTCTCCCTATTAGAGGTTTTGACAGTAGTTACCACGTTCGGTAGGTGTGGTAGAATTGGCAACCATAATTAGGTTTTGGTGATATTTTAAGAGGGACGCTACTACCTATCCCCCGTTCGTTAAGTTCCCTTAGTCTCTTCTTACCATACCCACGAGTTATGAGGTAACAAACATAAAAAATACAATCAAATTTAAAACCTCCTTTTCGAAGTCGGTTGAAAATATCAAGATGTGTAAGATTGTGTACCAAATACGAAAATGAGGAAAATAATGATTAGATACAAGTATCTAAATTATGGGGCAAGAGATCGGATGGAAACACGAGTGCGTTATCAGCTGAATATGTAAATTTATTATCTGTGAAAAAAATGGAACTCTTTGTCTATGTCATTGATAAACTGGATCGCTATATGTAAATATTTTGTAAGAACTCTCATATATGTAGTTGATATTTTATATACACATGTAAAAAACATCATACAATCTAAATAGAAGCATCACAAATAACCCATTGACGTACGACTAGCAAAATTGCTTTTTCTACATCAGAGATAACCTCTTAGAAGGTAAATATGGAAAATGTAGAATTTGGTTAACTTCTATATTTTGCTTCAAGATAATCTGAATATACTTCATACAAAAATGAGTAGTTACAGTCCGAGATTCCCATCGTATCAGCCACTAACTGTCCACTGCTGAATATAGACCTCCCCTTTATGAAGGGTCCCCTTTATGGACGCTTGGCAAACGGCGGATTGATAATCGCAGTTAGGCTATGGAAAAGGGACTCTACTGCTTATCTCTCGATCGTTAAATTCCCTTATTCGCCTCCCTTCCCTTATTGACCCCAATCACCTCTTATGACATCATTATGGAGATTTTTTTTAAATACATCTTAATCCTGGAGAGACGAGTGTAAGCTAAAATAGATGTACGATGAAATAAAAACTTTTGGAAAAGAACACCAACCTTTGTTTTTCGACACCAATTTCCTGTTCTCCATTGCAAGCCGGCCGGTACACGACGATGCCATGGGGTCCGACTCCAACGCACGTGCTCAGCCTGCACCCACACCCACTGCCGGTTTGTCCCGACGCCAAACACCCAACTGTCGCTCCACCATCTATTTCCTGATCCGATTCTCTTGCCCTCGGCTCCTCAGCTTGCGGTCTATGGTATAATAGATGGTTGTACAAATTATGAGCATTGTTGGTCTCATTCACTGATTTACAGAAGAACAACTCTTCGCCAAACGACTCAAGGTTGGAAATCTCTTTCAGCACCCTGTATTCGGCTTGTGACTCCCTCATACCAGCTATTTCGCAGTGATAATCAATGATCTTTTCTATATGATCTTCGGGCTTCTCCCCCTGTGGTCCAATTTTGTCACATTCCTCGTAAATATGCATGGGTGGGACATCTGGGTCGCAGTCTCCCGTCTCAGCTTGAGCTATGTAAGCTATTATCCGTCTCGCTACTTCCCAGTCAGCAACGACCAGTCTACCTTCAGTCAAATCGAGTTTGGCGTGAAGATAGAACTGATGGCGGGTCGGTTCGTTAATCAGAAGATGAGGGGGCACCCAGAACTTGACACGCAAATCCAGCCGGCCTCCGGGGATGCGGTGAGGGTCTAACGGGTTCCTTAAGTTTAGCCATCTCCCCGGTCCTGATCCTGAGTTTACACGGAGCCCGAAATAGTCGGATTCCGCGCCGATCTCCAATTTCTCGCACACCTGTAACAATTAAATGAATCATCTTAGAAAAGTACGAAAAAAAAATATTTAAATTTATGTAAACTCAGACATCAATAATTAAAGTTTTGTTTAATGTATGTAATTAATATTTATGCATGAATGTATTTGTTACAAATGTATATTTTAATTATTTTGCATAAATTTAACAATAGAAATAATAAGTCTAAAATATGAGCAAAGCGATCATTTCTGTGTTGCCAGATAAATATTTTGTAAAAGTACTTATATAGCAGTTTATATAATTCAGTGTTACCAGACAAAATTAAATTTACAGTCGAAGGTTACTAGCTACGAATATTTTTTTATGTTAGATTAGAACATGGACGATATAAAGTCATGTATAACATTGAAATTACTTCCGGTTTGGTCATGTTTATTAAGTGAAAGTATTTAAATATAACAATATTTTATTAATAATATATAACAGCACTACACTTTATTAATCATTTGATCCAACTAATGGACCAATCTATAAACATATAACTTGAATAAAAATTATTGCCTATTCTAAAATATATTTTTATTATTATGGCAATAAAAAAAAAAACAGAGCAGTATGGAAAATTCTGTTATACGTAAATGATTTCTAATTTTAATATACTATCAAATCATTACTTTTTTTTAGTAAGATACACTTATACAATAAATTCTGTTATCTTGTTTAGCACTTTGGCTGTACATTCCCTTAAATTTATACTACTATTTATTGCTATTCAATTATTAAAACATTTACTCTTACCAATGCTTGAGGGATTTTAAGTCTACAATAATAAACATTTATTTATAACCCCCGATTCACCCATGTAAAATGTTACAGAAAAAAAAATAAAGTTTTTTTTTATTTCACTGTTAAATTATACAAAAGTTACGTAGTAATAAATAAAGTAATATATTATTATTTATTGTATTATTTTTACACGATATATGTTATGCTTTATATATAAAACCTATAGATACTTTCTCCTTTCAGATTCTCAAGATTGACAGGAAGAAATCTTTTTAAGGCATAAGTCCAACTGTGTACATTTTTACTATAATCTATTAATCTATACTATAAATGAATTTACAAAAAAAAAATTGTCAAAAAATAGCATTGTTTTCCGTTAGAAAAGGATAATGGAAAATTTAAATACAACACTATCACAAAAGCTAAATTAAAAAAAAATTGGAACAGACCGGCATACAAAACTATCGTCTCTTTTAATTCTCCATTCCATTTATTAAAAGTTGAATGAACTTTGGTCTATAATTGTACAATGATATTATAATTGGTACAAAATAAAATATTTGTATTGTACCAATTGTTCTAAAGGAGAGTGCCAAAAATGTGCAAAATGTTAACTACGTGTCAAGGTAAGTCATAACAAATTGCTCGCTATATTATAAATTACATTTGCATGTTTATTAACATTGCACGCATTTATGTATGACGCGATTCGATAAGAAGTTTTATATTTATTTGTTAAATGCAATTTTTGTTCCGATAACAATTTGTGTAGTTAGGTAAGTACATAGGTAAATAATTGATGTTCGCTCCGCTGACTTGTTATTGTCAAAAACTTCACTGATTTGTCATGGGGCTTTTATAACAAGTACAATGAATAAATCTTTACAGTCCTTTTTAATAGATTTTAACGTAAATATAAATAAACAAATGCTGATGTCCAATAAAAAAAATCGATTTGTCATTTCTAAAATTTTACGATTCTAAATTGTAACAAGTTTAAAACTTATAATCTTGGTTATCTTTTGATTAACTTCTATTTAAAAGTAAGTATAGTTTCATATGAACTTAATTATTTGTAATATAGTAATATTACAAATATGTAAGTTTTTTTAGCACATGTATTCGGTTGTGGAACAGGCTAAGGTCGGAGACCATGCTGCCTAGTCTTCAATATGATAAATTGTCTGGAATTTACAAACATGTAAGTTTGTTTACCTGTCAATAATGTAATAAGTAATGAGTAGAAGCTAGTGTGTAAATACGTTAATAGAGTAATTATTAGATAGAGTACTGTGGAACCCTTGACTCTCATTACATTCTATGTACATACAAATTTCTTCTATTAATATAAAAATGTGAATATTTAATTATATTTATATAATTAAAACTGCTTTAGATATTTATATATTTAATTATAGATAACACTCTATCATTTATAAATAAACTGATGATAATTGGTTAGAAACATACACGTGGTTTGTCCGTGATTGCGATGCGGAGCGCATAACAACATAGGAGGTGTCCAGGTCAATATTTGCTGTCTAAACTTTTATGTCGCCATGTCCGTATGGTTGTCCGATAACGCGTCGACATATGATTGATTGTAAAAGCCGAAATAACTTGACAGTGATAATAAATTCTTTTTTAAATTAAGAACCTTCTCAATTTTTGAAGCCGGTTAAAAAAATAATAAACATACTACGGAATAAGTGGTAAATATATAAAAAAGACCTTTGTTATATAAACATAACGTTGTGAATTCCTTAATTTGACACGCGACGCTAAATACGCAGCTTTGTTTACTATGAAACTCATTCCTGCACGCAGCACGTGCAATTCAGTATGTAGGTATGTGTGATCCGATAGCCGAGGGTAATGTTTCAATGAATGTACATACTCGTATTGTACTTGTGTCAAATTGCAATGTCCGCGAGGTTATCAACTGAACGTATATACTATTCCTGAACCGTATTTACGTGTTCAATAAATGTTTAATTAGTTGAACAAAACATTTTGTAGGCGACAAAACAATAGGCGACGCGCTGAAGATGGGCCAAATTAAAAGTACCCGTATCCGGCGAGCGTGTATGAAAAGATTGATGAGTGTGGAAGAAGCGAAAGAGGTTTGTTTGAATCGAAGCGTTTGGCGTTCCATTGTTTCTGCCTACCCTAATGGGAGACAGGCGTGACAGATATGTATGTATGTAATACATTTTGTTTTATCAAAAAAAAAAAAAAAAAACTAGGGGATTCAATAGTTGACGAAATACTTGAGAACAAACGAGATGTTTCGATGACACATTGGGGGTATCATGGGCGAAACAGTATACTCTGTTATGTCCACGGTACTGCTCATGTCTATAGGCGACAATTACCACTGTCCATCAGGTGGGCTGTCAGCTTGTTAGCCATTCTAAGTTGCATAAAAAATACATAAAAAAATTTGAATTTAGAATACGAATGAATTTAAAATTTTAAAACGCTACTTCGTACACAAAAAAATTAACAAAGTCAATTCAGAATCGACGAAAAAATCGCTTTGTACTCTTAGAAATATTGTATTTACCCTTTATGTTCGCAGTTACCTACTATTATTATTAATCAAGCGTTTTTTTGTCAAAATATAGTGACATCTATAGGCATTAGATTGCACTTCTCAATGTCACTTTACATATATAAGCTTGTTCAAAGGTATATAACTCGATAATAATTACAACAAAGATATTGTTTATTGATAAAAATAAACAATCATAAACAAAAAACAAAAGCCAAAACGTTTAGTAAAATGAGTAAAAAATATATTACGCCGATCCAAAATTTTCTTGATTTGAACAGGAAAATAATAAATCTTTCATGAAATAGGCAATATTTATTCTTATGTTGCTATAGTGAGTTAACCCGTCGCGTGTCCCGCTCTAGCCACATCTCTATTGTATCAAAATAAAAAATAGACTTTTTTTTTTTATTTACTCAGTTTACAATACCAGGCAATAAGAATAAAAGAAAGTCAGCAAATTTGAGTTATACACCCGTGTGTAACATAAGAGTTTTTTTTTAAATAGACTTGTTTTCAAGCACTTTTAAAACTTCATTTTTTTTTAATCTACTGCAGGCTTCGGAAAGTTGTTATCTGTTGAGAAATGCCTACAAGAAACTCGACAGTTACTGTTTTAAATTTCTGTTAACATTATGTGTATTTATTTAAATGTACTATATCTAAAATTGCATGATCGTTACAATCACGAGCACTGGCATGATCAACTAACACCATGCACTTTTTTCATTTAAACATGTACATAAATTGGTAATAAATTTAAATGCGCTTGCATGTCTCATTAAATTAATTTATTTTTAACTATAACATTTAAGTCGATTGGTACACATGTATGACTGTAACTACTAATAAACTGTCAGTTTTTCTTACATTGGGTTTGTTGGAAGAAATGTCTTTTGGAGATAAGCTCGCCTTTGTGCACTTTTATGTTTTTTTTTTTCTATTTCAATAACCTTTTGTATACAATAAAGAATAAACTTTTTCAATAAATTCAAAACATGTTTAAACCATTCCACATGTTTGAATCGACCTTACCAGTATTCACGTTAATATTAAGTACGAAAACACGACGAAATTTCTCAGAAAATGATAATTAAATAAGTACCTACCTATACACAAGGGCTGTACGTACAGGGCAACGTAATTTTGTTAATGTTCCGATACTCGGCTTTTTCCGCGTACTTTCAAGGAACTCCATTATAACGGACATGGCAATTTGATGCATCAGTCACGTCTTACGGCATCTGTTCGACTTAATTTTCCTCTTTTATCTTTTATTTGTTCATTAAATTCTACTTACTACAGGTTCTATGTTAAGTGTTCAATTATATTAGTACTAGTTTGTAACCGCAGCTTTGTCTGTGTGACCGGGATTTTATTCAGTACTTTTTCGTAATCTATATCCTTCTCTATTCTATAGTGTATACCAAATTTTAAAGTGATTATTTAAGTCGCTATTAATTTGTTTTTTTATATGATAAAAATCAAATTCGCTTTCACATGTATTTTAAAGCCTGATGGTAACAAATATTTGTATCTCGTTTTATTTTTTCTGTTATTACAAAAGTTGTACTAATGTGTTTATACACAGTTCTCAATCCAACAATGAGTAGTTACATTATTGTTATCAATTTATACATAGCTGGCAACACTAAAGGCCATTTTTCCTTATTAACCATCACCTATTTCTTAAATAAA